AGTAAATCCAAGGTGAGAAGGGACTCCAATGTCCCCTTGTCTGCAGAGTTGAAAGGCACCCATTCAGAGGAATTTGGGTTAGGCTGGTGTCCCTGCGTCTCTGTAGCGCAGTGATAGGTTGGAATGGAGGAATCACAGTTTGAAGACTCCCAGGTTTCCAGGGATCCAGTGGACACATCGGTGCAAGGCTGAGCAGGTTTGGAGGTCTCATAATGAGAGACCAAGTGGCAAGCCCATTGTTTGTGTGCTCTATGCTCTGGGGGAAAGGAAGAATCCAAATCCAAGGTCGCACGCTTGCTTGGCCTTGCTTGCTTGGCCTAGCACAGAGCTGCATTATCGGTCTCCAGGTCCAAGGGTACATGGTGAGCCCACTCTCAAGGGGCCTGCTTGGCCTAGCCCAGAGCTGAGTTGTTGGTCTTGATATCCAAGGGCACAAGGTGAGCCTGCTTACCAGGCACCAGCTTGGCCTATCAGATAGCTTGGTAGTTGCTCTCCAGGTCCAAGGGCACATGGTGTGCCCGCTGTCAAGGTATCTGCTTGGCCTAGCCCAGGGCTCTGTTATTGGTTGCCAGGTCCAAGGGCACGTGTTAACCCTGTTGTCCAGGTTCCTGTTTGGCCTAATTGCGAGCTGTGTTGTTGATCTCCGGGCCCAAAGGCACCTGGTGCCCCTGCTGTCCACGTTCCTGCTTGGCCTAGTGCAGAGCTGCATTGTTGTTCTCCAGCTCCAAGAGCACATGGTGAGCCTACTGTCCAGGTGCCTGCTTGGCCTAGTAAAGTGCTGAGTTGTTGGTCTCCAGGTCCATGGACACATGATCAGTTGGCTCCTCAGGTACCTGTTTGGCCTAGCAGAGAGCTGAGTTGTTGGTCTTCTGGTCCATGGGCACATGGTGATCCTACTGTCAAGTTGTCTGCTTGGCCTAGCCCAGGGCTCCTTTCTTGGTCTCCAGGTCCAAGGGCACATGGTGAGCCTGCTGTTCAGGTGCCTGCTAGGCCCAGGATAGACCTGAGGTGTTGGTTTCCAGATCCAAGGGCATGTGATAAGCCCACTCTCCAGGGGCCTGCCTGTCCTAGTAGAGAGCTGAGTTTTTAGACTCCAGTTCCAAGGGCATATGCTGATGGTGTTATTCAGGTGAATCCTTTTCCCAATACTGAGCTGGGATGCAGGACTCGTGGTTTCCTGACCGTTGGCAAGGCTGGTATTCTCTGGAATTACTTGCCTTGTGCTACACTGGAGTGGCCTGTTTGTGGTAGGACTCCTTGTCCACCCAGTGTCTGTCGGACTCATCTGCCCAGTAGTGTCAAATTGGTTCAGAAGACTCCCAGTCTTTGGGTTCCTGGTTGGTGCTCTCTTATGGGGACTGACTTTCTGCTTGTTATACTTTGTTGGAGGGTTTGTGGTCTGTGGGCTCCTGGTCAGCCAGGTGTCTGGGGGGTTACTTTGTCCACTGCTGAGCTGGTTCAGCCAGCTCGTGGTCTCAGGATTTGTGGTCCAAGGACTTCCACTGTGTCCAATGATGTGGTGATTCCTTCCCCCAATACCTACTTGTTTTGTAAAAGTCCCGCTCTCCCTGGTGTCTGTAGGCATTCTAAACACTGTCGACATCAGGGACGGATGGTCATTCAATTCATTCATGGTCCCTGTGCTGAGCTGGTTTGGAGGGCTCCAGAATAGTAATGTGCCCAGTGCTCCCTCAGGTTGTGGAATCAGCTTTCCTGTGCTGAGCCCTGTTGTGAACCCAAAGGTGTGGGAACCAGCTGGCTGAGAATCCATGGTGACCTGATTTCCAGTGTCCCACTGCCATGGGCCAAATGAGATGTGTTCCTGAGCAGCTGGGCCATCCGCATAGTGGGAAAAGTGTCCAGGAGTTGCCAGATGAAGGTTTGAGGACCTCAGGACCACACAGGGGTGCAAAGGTAGGTGCAAACATGAAGGTGGACTGCACAGTGTTGGTGAACGGCCCAGGGCCGGAGGAGTGGGCAGGGGGCTTGCCATGGGCAGGGCAGAAAAAAGGTCAGAGAATGCTAGGAATAGCAGGAAGAGCTGTAGCTGAAGCTCCATCTCTCTCCTCTGTGCAGCCGTGGCTGTTGCCGAGCTTTTAAAACAGCTCTGGGGCATGAGAATTCCTTCTTGTGATGTCACCACCATGCCCTGGCCAATCACCAGGGCGCTGTCACGTTGGCTTCCTTCGGGTGGCAAATCACCATGCAGTTTGGCTGGCCAATGACTGATGGCTATCTCAGTGACCTTCCTGACATCATTGTCTAGAAATGTTTTAAAGGAAAATAGATAAGCTTTCTTTCAAGATGAAGAATTTGTATTTGGGATGAATCCATAGTGAAGGTCATGGTGAGGCTGAGAGACTCAACCAGTAGAAAGCTCAATGTGTCACAGAGTCACCTTTCCCTAAAACGCTGACACCGATGTTAGTGAAGACATGGGACATTAGACCCTATGACACATCACTGTTTTGGGGTAAGGGGGACAACATGGCACTAGGGAAATCCTACTGTCAAGTCACCCATCAAAGTTGAAATAGAAGTTTAGAGAATGGTAGGCGTTATGTTTGGTACATCTTCTCACAATACACCTGAACCTCGAAAGGATGAAGGTGTATCACAATTCATTACCTGCTTGTCAAAACAGCATTCAGCTCTCCTAGAAGGGCGATAACGAAATCCAGCCTATCACCAGGTTCACAGTCCTCGTGTCCTGCATCCAATCAGAAAGTTATGGGGGGAACTCCTCCCTCAAATCCAACTACATACTTATCAATTCATTCAGAACACCCAAGAAATGAATCATAGATCTGGTAAATTGTTTTCCACCCCCTCACTTTCAATCTGGGGGTGTCTTTGGTTCTAAAATGAGTCTCTGGCAGACAGCCTATCAATGGATCTTGTTTTTTAATCCAGTCTGTTAGCCTGTGTCTTTTGATTGGGGCATTTAGCCCATTTACATTCAGGGTAACTATGGAAAGATAGGAATTTAGTGCCATTGTATTGCCTGTAAGGTGACTGTTACCGTATATTGTCTGTGCTCCTTTCTGGTCTATGTTGCTTTTAGGGTCTCTCTTTGCTTAGAGGACCCCTTTCAAGATTTCCTGTAGGGCTGGTTTTGTGTTTGCAAATTCCTTTAGTTTTTGTTTATCCTGGAAGCTTTTTATCTCTCCTTCAATTTTCAATGACAGCCTAGCTGGATAGAGTATTCTTGGCTGCGTATTTTTCTCATTTTGTGCTCTGAATATATCCTGCCAGTCCTTTCTGGCCTGCCAGGTCTCTGTGGATAGGTCTGTTGCCAATCTAATGTTTCTACCCTTGTAGGTTACAGATCTCTTCTCCCGAGCTGCTTTCAGGATTTTCTCTTTGTCTATGAGACTCGTAAGTTTTACTATTAGATGCCAGGGAGTTGACCTATTTTTATTGATTTTGAGAGGGGTTCTCTGTGCTTCCTGGATTTTCATGCCTGTTTCTTTCCCCAAATTAGGGAAGTTCTCTGCTATAATTTGCTCCATTATACCTTATGCCCCTCTCTCTCTTTCTTCTTCTTCTGGGATCCCAATTATTGTAATGTTGTTTCGTCTTATGGTATCGTTAATCTCTCGAATTCTGGCCTTGTGATCCAGTAGTTGTTTATCTCTCTTTTTCTCAGCTTCTTTATTTTCCATCATTTCATCTTCTATATTACTGATTCTCTCTTCTGCCTCATTTATTCTGGCAGTTAGCGCCCCCATTTTTTATTGCACTTCATTAATAGCCTTTTTTGATTTCTACTTGGTTGGATTTTAGCTCTTTTACTTCTCCAGAAAGGGTTTCTCTAATAACTTCTGTATTTTTTTCAAGCCCAGCTAGTATCTTTAAAGTCATGATTCTGAACTCTAGATCTGACATCGTACTAATGTCCGTATTGAGTAGGTCCCTGGCAGTCGGTACTACCTCTTGTTCTTTTTGTTGAGGTGATTTTTTCCGTCTTGTCATTTTGTGCAGAGGAGAATAGATTAATGAGAGAACAAAATGCTAGCAGAGTAACCACGTCCCCAGAAAATATACTCTAAACTAATCAGAAAAGACCTGAAGCAGTGGGATAAGAAAGGGAAAGAGAGAAAAAAGAAAAAGAAAAAAAAAAAAGAAAAAGATAAAAATAAAAACAAAAACAAACAAAACAAAACAACAACAAAAGAAAAACCAGAATGTGATCAAATATGATCTATATAGTATATAGATTAGTGCCACACACTAGATTTGGGGTGTATTTTGGTCTTTTAGAAGAAAGTGCCTCCCAAAATTTTAAAGAAAGAAAAACTTATATATGTACAAAAATAAGGGTTGATATGATGAAGGGATGGAATATGACTGTAAAAATGGAAATTATAAAAAATTTTATAAAAGGAATTGATAAGAAGTTGTTTGAAAAAAGAAAGAAGAGGATTTAAAAAAAGAAAAAAGAAAAAAAAAGGGAGAGGATGTGATCAGGCAGGGGAATAGAAAACACCATATACTAGAGATTTAGGGTATATTTTAATCTGTTAGAAGAAACTATCTCAAAATTTTAAAGAGAGAACAACTTATATATATAAGCCAAAAATATGGGTAACTACTATGAAGGGATAGAATATGGCTCTAAAAATGAAAAATAATTTTTTTTTTAAAGGGATTGATAAGATGTTGGTTGAAAAAGGGAAAAAGAAAAATTCAAAAAGAAATAAAAAGACAAAAAGTTAAAAAAAATTAACTTTAAAAGACTAAAGAATCATGGTAAAAAAGCCGTGAATTCTATGTGCAGTAGTCCCCTAGCGCTGGAGTCCTGCCGTTCTCATTGATCGGTAAACTTGGTCTTGGCCGGCTGTTCTCGCTGATCTTCTGGGGGAGGGGCCTGTTGCATTGATTCTCAAATGTCTTTCCCGGAGGCGGAATTGCCCCGCCCTTGCCCCCTCCCGGCGAAGTAATCTGCTCGGGTTTGCTCTCCGGGGCTTTTGTTCCCTACGAGCTTTCCGTACAGCTTTGGAGGCGGAGAGTGAAAATGGCGGTCTCCCAATCTCCACCCCGGAGGAGCCGAGAACTCGGGCCCCGCTCCTCAGTGAGCCCCCAGAGAAAAGCCGTCAGTCACTCTCGTCTCCCCGGTCTGCAGCTGCACTCCGTGCTCAACCGGCCTGTGACCGCACGTTTCTGTCTCTGGCACCCAACCCTGGGTGGAGTCTCCAAACCCAGCAGATCCCTGCGGTGCACTCCCGCGCGGCTCCTCCCGGGGGAGGAAGGTGAGTCTCCCCGGATCTGCCGCTTGTTGGGTCCCTGCTGGAGGAGCAGGGGCCCGACTGGGCCGCGGATCCCGGTTTATGGCGACCCCGAGCTGAGAGCCCGCGCCTGGGCTCCGCCTCTGCAGCCGGCTTCCCTGCTCCGTTACCTGGGAGCTCTGCCACACTCAGGCACCCCCCGGTCTTTCTGTGACCACAAGGGTCCTGAGACCACACTGTCCCGGAGGGTTCCACCCCCCGCTTAGCCACCAGAGTGATGTCCCTCAGCGGAGCAGACTTTTAAAAGTTCCGATTTTGTGCTCCGTGGTTCTATCACTTGCCAGAACCGGCCGATGGAGGCCCCTCCCCCACTGTCTATCCTCCCGAATATCGCCTCGGATTCACTTCTCCGCACGTCCTACCTTCCAGAAAGTGGTCGCTTTTCTGATCAGAAAGTTGTTGCTCTTCTTTTCTTCGATCTCCTGTTGAGTTTGTAGGTGTTCAGATTGGTTTGATCCCTATCCAGCTGAATTCCTGAGAGGAGACGAAATCCAGGTCTCCTACTCCTCCGCCATCTTGCTCCGCCCCTTCCTCCAGGACTTACTTATTTTTAACTTATGTATCATATAACTAGAATTTTTACCTCTTGAACACCTGCACCCTTTTTGCCTATAATTTTTTTATGAATTTTTGATAAGTGCTTGTAACCTTGGAATTATAATTTTACTGTTTCATGAAATACAAAAGTTATATGGATAGATCCCATATAACGTGATTGTATTATAAAAGTCAATTTTTATAAGTTCTTAGAATTTTTCATGGGAGGGAACAGTACATTTCTGGATGTATGTATTTATAAAACAAATACCTGTAAAACTTTTTTTATTTTCATTGGAGGTTTGGAAAAATCCACTTTCCACTCTTGATGGATAGAAACTTTGATTTTCTTTCTAAAGATATGACTAATGGATAATCTCTAAGCATTGAATATTGATATAGAAAACACATGCTTCAAGCATTTTTATTACTATCTTTAATGGAGAAAGTGACTTTGAGCATATTTTTCATTGCCTTCAGAACATCTCTTTATTCCTAAAACTGTAGATGATAGGGTTCAGTGTGGGTGTGAGGATGGTATAGAATATTGCCAAATATTTGTCCTGGCCCGGAGTGTGGTATGATTTGGGTCTCATGTATGTGAAAATAAATGGCCCATAGTACATTGTGACCACAATCATGTGGAAGGAACAAGTAGAAAATGACTTTTTCCGTGCTTCTGATGATTTCATTTGAAGAACAGTAAGGAGAATTTGGACATAAGAAGCAAGGATTAGGGAGGAAGGGACAAGGAGAAAAATTAAGCCACTTACATAAACTCCTCGTTCATAGAGTGTTGTGTCCACACAGGACAACTTCAACATGGCAGGGACTTCACAGAAAAAGTGATCAATGGCTCTTGGGCCACAGAAGGGAAACTGGAGTGCATAAGCTGTGTGGACTATGAAGTTGACGGTCCCAGCAATCCAGGACCCTCTAGCCATGAGAATGCGGACATAGTCATTCATAAGAATGGGATAGTGCAGTGCGTGACAGATGGCTACATAGTGATCATAAGACATTGCCGCCAGGAGAAGGCACTCACCACCCAGGAGGGTGAGGGATAGAAATATCTGGAAGCCACAACCTGCGAATGAAATAGTTCTGCTGCCTGACAGAAAGCCAGTGACCATTTTGGGAACAATGTTGGAAATATGCAAGATGTCCATGAGAGACAGATGGCTGAGCAGGAAATACATTGGAGTATGGAGTCTTGAGTCCCTGAGGATAAGGAGGATCATGATTGTGTTTTCTGTTATAGTCATAATAAAAATGATGAATATAAAGGAGATGAAAACTAGACTTGATTGAGAGGAAGAAAAGAGTCCTAAATGAATGAAATCACTGGGCGCCTGGGTGGCTCAGTCGTTAAGCGTCCGCCTTCGGCTCAGGTCATGATCCCAGGGTTCTGGGATCGAGCCCCGCATCGGGCTCCCTGCTCAGTGGGGAGCCTGCTTCTCCCTCTCCCACTCCCCCTGCTTGTGTTCCCTCTCTCGCTGTCTCTCTCTGTGTCAAATAAATAAATAAAATCTTTAAAAAATAAGGAAAGGAAATAAAAGAAAGAAAGAAAGAAAGAAGGAAGGAAGAAAGAGAGAGAGAGAGAGAGAGAGAAAGAAAGAAAGAAAGAAAGAAAGAAAGAAAGAAACAAAGAGAAAGAAAAAGAAAGAAAGAAAGAAGTCACTGGTGAAACTGTGATTCTCATGCCCCATCATGAACTCCACTCTTTTCCTAAAATAGAAAAAAATAGAGCTAAAATGCAGCGGCATAAATCTCAAACTCATTTACATTTAGAAGCATAATAAAATGAGAGTGATGCAGATTTTGCAGTTCAAGTCAACAGACTCTCAACCAGCTTTGGAAGTGGGCTTGGTTTACAAGATGGCCATTTATTTGCTTGAATCAACTGATGATATTGGTCTATTGAGAAAGCTGTTAGCTCCATGTAGTCTTAATTCCGTATTCTTAAATGCAGTTCAATCTTTTGTCAAAAGTCACTTTTTAAATGAGACCTACCCTGAACAGTGTACTTAAAATCTCAGTAACCCCCGACTTGCCTATTTCTCCTTACTGTGCTGTCCTTTGATGTATTTTGCACATCACTTTTCATCTTTTACATATTCAATAAACTTATGAACTACATTTATTTTTTATGGTCATTCTAACTCATCAGAACTTAAACTTCCCAATGTGAAATCGTTGTTTTGCCCTCTGTATAAACTGAATGGCTACACAATGCCTGGTATATAGTAGTTGCTCAATAATATCCTTTAAATACCTGAATAAATGAATAGCATTTGGCACTCAATTTTCTGTCTCATTTTTTATTTGGATAAAGCTTAAAGGAAATGAAATGTAATGTATTATTTATACATCTTTCTAAAATAATAAGTAATGATATACTATAAAAACTAGCTTAATCTGTATTTATAATTTAATCTGTAATTTGTAAATATCAGCATTTAAATGTAAAAAATGAAAATTTTATTCAGTTAAAATAAGAATATATTTTGATTGGGCCAGTTTTATTAACGCCTCAAAATTGAATTATATTTCATTAATTCTTTATATAGAGAATCATATTGTTTCCTAAATAATGAAATTGTTTAGATGTGTTCCCTTTACTATATGTGCACAAATTCACTATGTATGATCTATCCCTCAATAAATAGATATACATGCATACATACTTATACACACAGAGAGAATTTAAGAAAACACTGCTGCAAATCATGAAAAATAAATAACATATAAAACAAGTTATTTGCCTTCTTTAAGAACTATTCATAAGTTTGGGGTTCCTGTCTGGCTTAGTCAGTAGAGCATGTGACTCTTGATCTCAGGGTTGTAAGTTCAAGCACCATGAATCTTAAAAACAACAAAAAAAAAACTCTTTTAAGTTTGAATGAAATGTGTTTTGGTTTTCCCTTTGGGAAGCAAATGTACAAATATGTCCCTGATAAAATATAAATAATGTGTATTTTTCTGTTTTATTTTAGTGATTATTGAGATTCTTCATTATGAAATCAACCTCTACACTCTATTTTGATGGCCTGGAATGTGACCACTGTTTTGCTATAACGTTAGGTATATGAAAAGATTAACCTTTGAATGACGTTGCAGATATATACATGTTTAAGTAGGTCTTGCTGTTTTGACTGGTTTGACCAACAGCTCAGTAAAATTTGGTAAGGACATGGATTGAGATTTAAGGACATCGATGCCTTCCATGAACTGGTGGATCATAAGTTAGTCTTTAAAATCTATGAATAAAAAAAATCAATGAATATTATTGACAACTCAAATTCAATATATCATTATCCAAAGTTGTTGACTTTTTCTCACTGCCAAAAATAATTTTGTCATTCTGGTTTTCCATTTTCCATTAATGATTTCAATTGTTATGCTCATTCTCATTAAAAATCCATACTCGATTTTAGTGTTGAGAAGTGTAGGGGCATCTGAGAGACACAGTCAGTTAAATGCCCACCTCTTGGTTTTGTCTCAGGTTGTCATATCAGGGTCATGAGACCAAGCCCCAGGTCAGGCTGTGCACACAGGTACAGAGTCTGCTTAACACTTTCCCTCCCTTTCCCTGTCTCTCTTTCTCTAAAATAAATAAATCTTAAAAAAAAAAAAAAGAAAAAAAAGTATATGTAATGTCTATTTTCTGCAGAACCCCATCACATAGTAGTCCCTGGCCTATTGTAGGTTCTCAGTAAATGTTTGTTCAAGGTATTTTTGACTATGGACTCTGATATCCAAAGTTATCCACAATATATCAATTATATTTACATTTTTAAAGAGTTTGTGCTGCCTCTACAAGAATATTTTGTCTACATTTTGTCTTCAGATTTTAGAAGTACTCCATAATAAATTCAACAACTACTTCATCTTCTAGGTTCTGCTACTTTCTTTCCACTTCCATGGGGCACCTGAAGTTCAAGAGCTGAGCTGAGATGGAGTCCACTGCTTAACCAACTAAGCCCCCCAGGTGTACAACCATCTTTTAAGAATCTTTGCCTAACTGGTCAATCGGGCATCTGGAATATCCTTCCATGATGCTAGAATGATAGATAAAATGATACCTTCTATGCCATCCAGAATGTTGAATGAAATCTGTTCTTGAATCCAAAGAGGTATACTCTAATGGTGAGCTTCCTAACACTATGTTTAAAAGTGGGAAGACAAATGTTACATATCCTGTAAAATCTTCCAAATCTGTGCTACCGTTATAAAGTTATAGTCTCTCTCTCTCTATATGACATTAAATATTCTCTGTCTAATAATACTAAATGTAAGTAAAGAAACGTAACATGCAGTTTACACCATGCTAACCTCTAGAAGTTTGGAGACTAATTATAGAAGATGCTGTCATCATTAGATACCAAGTCTTTAGCTATAAACACAGTCATATCCCAAACTTGCCTCCCAGGTAAAAGAAAGGCTCCCATGCACTTTACCTAGTGAATGCAATATGCTCAAATATTTTTTACCATTTTACATTTGTCAACATTTTGAAAATTCATTATGCAGCACTAATTTGACTTAACTAGTTTGAAAAATACTCTTTTCATTTTTCTGTCACATCTCTCAGTACATGAATAAAACATTCAGAATATCTCCTTAAATTTAAACAGAAGGGAAATTACATTTAAATAGAAGGAAACTATTCAATAAAATTAGTAAGACTACACATCTATTCAATTATTTGTATGTTCCTACATTACATCTTTATATTAAAATTTTGACTGTAAGATGGACAAAAATAATAGATCATTACTTCCTGAGTAATATTTATCTTCAGGTGTTTAATGTAGAAATCCTGGGAATATTAAGTCTGATTGATATACATGCTTCTATTTATACTAAAAGATAATGCTACTTTTATTTTTGGATGTATTCTAAAAATGTATGATATCAATGACCAAAATGATATAGCTATTATAAGCACTGTCTTAAATTCCAGACTTACATGGTTGGTGTGCAATTGATTCCAGTTAAGTGGTCTTTGCTGATAATTGACTGTAATGGAATTTCATAGAAGAGGCAGAGGTCTAACAATGGATTTCCCTAAATATGGATGGAATAAAATCATTGCTTATTTAAAGGAGTTGACATGAAAAATGCATACCATAAATGTATGATAGTGTGACTTTCCCTAGGAATGGGTATGCTACTGACCAAATGATTATATTAAGAGAGTAGTAATATAAGTGAAAAATTTCCAAGATTTGAAGAGATAAACAAGAAAATACAATGCAAATACAGTATCTTTGAAATATTTTATATTGTCTTATTATACAACACATCAATCAGACATGAAATTTTATCTGAAATGAATTTTTATCAAATCAATTTTTTATCAAATGAATTTTTATCAAAGTTTTTTTTCTAGACTAAGAGACAACACAGTATATAACAGAGATGCATGCACATACGCAGGTACATACATGCACACGCAGAACAGAGCTTAGCACTTAGTCGTTACATAGGGACAAGGATTATTACTGTTGTTTTTATTATTGTTTCTAAAATTGCAGTATTAGTATTTCTATAATTATTTTGTTTTATTTTTTATTAATTTTTCATTATGTTCAGTTAGCCAACATACTTTATATTTTAAATAAGCATTTAAACTACTATATTCTAGAAAGAGAGAGTAGTATTCAGGATATGAGAGCATATAACCGAGTAAAGAAATAGAATTCGATGTTGTGAGAAAGAAGCAGATTGTGTACTCTGCCTGGTGAAATTGGTCCATGAGGTTCGCTGGGGGAAGTGGAATTGCAGTTTGCTGAATGACAGCGTGTGGTTTGTTTCCCACCCATATACACAAACACAGGCATGTGTGGAGAGCTAAGCAGTGCTCCTTATTATGAAACCAATCCACTGAGCTGCTCAGAATTTCATTCTATACTAGCTAATTGACATTATAATTAACTTTTTTTGTTGTTGTTTGTCCTTTTGACTTTTCGGGACACTGAATCATACACCAAGGAACTGTTGCATGGCCAACTTGTATCTATTCGTTGTTGCTGCCATGCCAGTTTAAGGGAGTCCTGTGAGTAGTCTCTCACAGTGACATCAAATTCACCGTGCCTAACAATGAACTGCCAAAGTCTCCTGAAGCATGTATCACCATTGGTACCACCATTTACAACAGCCCGAGCCAGAAATCAGAAAAAAAAAAAAAAAAAAGTTATCCCAACTTTTCTTTATCCCTGCGCTCCTCCATATAAAAATCACCATCTCTTACCAACTCTCCTGACATAAATGTCTCCCATGGTTATTCCTCCTCATGGTGCTACAGTCCATGGTCGTCATGGTGACTCTAAAGCATCTCTTCTATCCTTTGTTAGTAGAATGTCTAGATCTGTATGGGTTCAGTACTGTCCACATACGATCACACACTTCACAGCTCTTTTTGAAGTCAGAAGAGTGTGGCCGATGAAGTCAGTTTCAGACAATGACAATGGCAGAGTTTTGGGACTGGAAGCACACTTTTCTCACTCCTTTGGCCTGTGAGTTACATCTACAGGTGATGATGTGTGGTCCTGCATTCTTTCTGGAAGATCTGTACAGGAAATAAAACCCGGGAGCTTAGGAGCCAATTTATTATTCACAATAATGTGTGAATACTAATGAAAAGTAACTCACCAAATTGTTAGAAAAATAATTTGGGAAGGGAAAAGGCAAGACATTTCCGTGGTGTGTTCTTGCTCTCCTTAGCATTCGTATCGGGTCATACATTTTTTTGGATAATGAATCTAGGATAATTCCAGTGTGTTTTATTCAAAAGGCATAACACATCCTTTTATGACATAGAATTTCAAAGAATTATAATAGTGTAAAGATAATTCAAGTAAATGTCTGCCTCCAGTTTCTCCCCCTATGAGTACACTTTTTGTCTAGTCTAGTTTATTCTATCCGGAACACTGTTTTGAGCATGCAGAAAATCTGCTAGATTACACTGTATGCACATTCCATTCTATACACGTTAAAAATAATAATCAGACAAACAAGCGACAACATAAAATCTCCCTATCTCTAGTTCCCATTTCCATTGAAACTAAAGTAATTATATTTACATGACATTGTCTTTCTTGCATCTTTGCCACACTCATATTCTTTCTTCCACATAAACAGTCTTCCCCACCATTTCTAACCCCTTCAAAGTCTCCCAAAATCTAGGGGTTGATGTAAACATATCCTTCCATGGAGACTTCCGTGCTCTCTTTAGACCACGCTTCCTTGCTTCTCTTTCTTGTGTAGAACTGGGCAGCTCTGTCAGAGCATCTGCTTTCATCTACAGCTGCACTGTCTGAGTTTATGTTTCCTCTATGCACCCTGAATGTGACCTACTCATCTCTTCCTTCCCTAGCCCCTAATGTCTCCCAAGGGCCCTCTTCTCTCACTTCATTAATGTTACCAATTTCATACCACCGAGGACAGAGCCTTGTTGATGGATTACTTCACACCTAACACACTGGGCTCACTTGCTCCCCAGAGGCTACCATGAGGCCCCTCCTCATTGGTGCCTAGCCATTGCCCACACCATTCGCATATCGGCCTCAATGTCACTGCTTCCAGAATGACAGAGGCATGGTGTGATGCCCCAATCCAGAAATTTGCTTTAAAGTAGCTGAGAGTTTGCAAGGACAAGGGGGATAAATGATTTGGGAGGACCAAGGAAAAGCAGGGAGGACACCTACCCCATTGGAATCCTGTGCCATGTAGCTTCTGGAGGAGAAAATAGCTAGTCTTTGATGGGTGACATGGGCTGCCATATTCCCAGAGGACAGCTGGGGAGGGAAATGAAGGGAACAGGAGGAAACTGTTTGTGTGGAGAGGGGTGGGGGCATTGAGACAGACAGGCATTCCTCAGGATAGAGCAGAAAAAATCCTGGTGTCAGAGAGAGAAGGGAGATAGTCTATTTCAGATGGATTAAAGAAAGTGAGATGAAACATTTGTTAAAGAAAAAAAATCCTGCCTTTCTGAGCCCTTCCCCATTATACCTTCTGTTCTTAGCATATTTTATTCCCATTTTTCAAAGCCTGAGAGCATATTGTCTGTTCAGGGAACTGTGTGTGGTCTGCCTCTTACATTAGATACCAGCGTTAGAGAAGGCCACTAGGCTGACCTCACTTGCTGCAGCATGGAGTGTCTCCTGGGTGTTTGTGGAGTCAACGAATGAACCTTCTTATCCCACAGACAGCCTACTACAGAGAGGCAGATAAGAAGATGGAATTGTTTTATATGAGCGATTATGCTTCTTTTTCCTGATAGTTTCATAAGTCAATTAAATGATTATTGATAAACTAAATATGAAAGTAAAAGTAACAAGGGGCACCTGAGTGGCAGCAGGTTGAGCTTCTGACCCTTGATTTCAGCTCAGGTCATGATCTCAGGGTCATGGGATCAGCCCCCTATCAGGCTCCATGCTCAGCTTGGAATCTGCTTGTCCCTCTTCCTCTGCTCTTCCCCCGCTCATGCTCTCTGACTCTCTCTCAAATAAATAAATAAATAAATAAATAAATAAATAAATAAATAAATAAAAATCTTAAAAAAAGTAAATGTAACAAAGCATAGTTAATTTACTGTTCTTACACATCATTATTATGACAGCTATATGTTAATGAGGTAATATAATTGACACAGAGTGTTATCTTAGTGTCAGATATACAGCATAGTGATTCAACATTTCCATACATCACCCAATGCTCATCTCAAGTGCACTCCTTAATCCCTGTCACCTATTTTATCCATTGCCCCTCCAACCTCACTCTAGGAACCATCAGTTTGTTCCTCTAGAGTTAAGAGTCTGTTTCTTTTTTTTTTCTCTATTTTTTCCCTTTGCTTATTTGTTTTGTTTATTAAATTCCACGTATGAGTGAAATCATATGGTATTTGTCTTTGACTTACTTCATTTAGCAAAATACTCTCTGGCTCCATCCATGTTGTTGCAAATGACAAGAGGCAGCATTAGCGGGGTCGGCGCGCATGCGCTACCCGCGCCCCTCCAAGCCCCGCCCTTTGTGTCCGCGGCCCTCCACGCCCCGCCCCGCCCCTCCACGCCCCGCGCCGCCGGGCCCCCAGACTTAGAGGTAGCATCAGCGGGGTCGGAGCGCATGCGCTACCCGCGGCCCTCCACGCCCCGCCCTTCGTGTCCGCGCCCCTCCACGTCCGCCCCGCCCCTCCACGCCCCTCCACACCCCGCCCCGCCCGGCCCCCAGACAGAGAGTCGGCATCAGCGGGGTGGGCGCGCATGCGCTACCCGCGCCCCTCCTAACCCCGCCGTTTGTGTCCGCGGCCCTCCACGCCCCGCCCCGCCCCTCCACGCCCCGCCCCGCTCGGCCCCCAGACTGAGAGGCAGCATCAGCGGGGTCGGAGCGCTTGCGCTATCCGCGCCCCTCCAAGCCCCGCCCCACCGGGCCCCCAGACAGGCAGCATTAGCGAGGTCGGCGCGCATGCGCTACCCGCGGCCCTCCACGCCCCGCCCTTCGTGTCCGCGCCCCTCCAAGCCCCGCCCCGCCCCGCCCCTCCACACCCCGCCCCGCCCGGCCCCCAGACAGAGAGGCGGCATCAGCGGGGTGGGCGCGCATGCGCTACCCGCGCCCCTCCTAACCCCGCCGTTTGTGTCCGCGGCCCTCCACGCCCCGCCCCGCCCCTCCACGCCCCGCCGCGCCCGGCCCCCAGACAGAGGCAGCATCAGCGGGATCAGCGCGCATGCGCTACCCGCGCCCCTCCACGCCCCGCCCTTCCTGTCCGCGCCTCTCCACGCCCCGCCCCGCCCCTGCCAGCCCCTCCACGCCCCTCCACGCCCTTCCACGCCCCCAACCCCCTACCCCGCGCCCTCCGCCCGCGCCCGCTCCCCTCGGCAAGGTCAAGGCCCGCTGCTCCCCCCGCCCAACGCTCAGCCCGCTCCCGCAGGCACACACCTCTGCCTCCGGTCGTGCTCGCAGTAACGGCCGGCGCGGTGGGCGGGGCCTACGCAGCAGGTGCCCAGGGCGCAGGTGCCGCCCTTCCTGCAGCCGCGCAGCGTCGGGGGCGCGCCTGCTGGGGGGACACCTGGGTGCTGGCGTCCGCTGCCTCCTGGCCCTTCGCAGGTACGCCCCTGAGAGCGCCTCATGAGCCTGCCCCGAGAGGCAGGAAGCTTCACCTCCAGGCCCATGTGTGTTTGCTCAGGTAAACCCTGCTTGTTAACTTAAGGATTCAAAACGAACTGCCAGGGGTCCTGGAGGGTCAGGAACCGGCTCGGGACCCAAGGAGAAACCCTGGCCCCAGCAAGTAGCATTTTCCCTCTTCCTAAAGTCAGGCTGTGACTTGCCTGGACAGTGATTAAAACCAGGCCTTCAGGGCGGGGACCGCCCACAGCTTTCGATGCGACAGAAACCCCTCCCAAGCCCTTGTCCCCCCCAGAGGGACATCATCATCCCCCCCCCCCAACCAGAGACCTGGGGTCTGGAGCCGGAGGGAGCTTCTGCATGGCTCCATCCATTTATGCCCAGCTGCTATGAGCACACTGCCTTGACTGAGCTCAGCCCAGGGGCCACAGCCCTAGGCTCTTCCCCTGCAACTTCAGCAGGAGCCACAGGTGGGCCCCAGCTCACAGGGATTTGCAACTCACCTGAGCTTCCAGCCCACATCCCTGGAGCTAAGAAGGAACAACATTTCTCAGGATGGGCCATCCTAGAATCTCACATTCCTACTCCCTTCTGACCCCCAGTGTCCACTTTATCATAGAACCTCGGCTCTGCCTCTTGGAAGGGGTCCCTTTCCTTTATACCCAAGCAGACCCTACAGGCTGCAAGGTGCAACTATCCCCACCTCTCTCGCACTGTGCCTTACTCTGTGCAAACAGCCAGGCACCTAAAGCACCCAATGTGAATCCCACATGTCTCCCCCAATTCCTACGGTCTTTCTTTGGACAGAACAGAGCCCACCATCCTGGCCCCTCACACTACTCTGCCTACCGTCCAGACCCCACACCTTCTCACCGAGAGACAGGGAATGGTCCCATGCCTCTGGACTCCCTCACCCTGGTTCCCTGGCCTTGTAACATTTGCTCTTCAAAGGCCTGTATCACACAGGAACCTGTTGCGGAGAAACACCTGCTGTCATGGCCACAGTTGGAAGCCATAACATCAGTGTCCAACCTCAAGTTTAGCAACAATGTGCTGGGAGGTCTCAGCCAGAAACGCTTTATGCAGAAATACCTGGATATAGACATACTGCTTCTCCTTTTCTTCCAATAAGAATGCTGCTGACCTCAACAGCTGTGCTTGAGATCCAGAAATAAGTATGTCTGAATGTTTTGACGGGGCAGGCAGGTCATGCTGTGTCAGCTGGGCATGATTCACCAACACTTTCTCAGAGCCATGGAGACCCCTGCCCAGCATCAGGAGAATGTGATGACTCATAAGGGAAGGTAGTGACTGCAAGCCAGGCTGCACATTACAATCCCCCAAGGATGGTTCTCATAAATTACTCATTCAGAAATGATCATTTTTAATTGTTTTTTAAAAATAACTATTTTTATTATTAATTAAACTAATATTCACATTTGTACCAACCCCCAATCCTGGACATGACCACACTTTTCCCAACTCCCCTTCTATGCTATCCTGGGTGGGTGCACAGGCGTCACCCTTTGTAAGGCAGAAACTTCCAGGAAGACTTTCATTTGCATGAAGAACCTCTCCACCTCATGGAGCTGTGCCTGCCTCTCACTGCACTGCTTGGCCTCTTGTTTTAAGACCTCCACCTCTCCCTTGAGGATGGAGTACCTCTCCTTCAACTGGAGGATTTCAGACAATGTCTCCATAGGTCTCCAGGCCTGGGTCTCCCCAATGCCCTCCCATCCCCCCTTCTCCTTTCCTGCCCTGAGTTTTAATACAAAGTCTTCAAACCACTGGACTATTTCATCTCCCACGGCATGGTGCCATTTTCTTCTGAGGAGGAGAACTCCCCCCAAAATGAATAATGCACAGATAGCAGGCCACATGGACATCAAGCTGAAGTAAATCCAAGGTGAGAAGGGACTCCAATGTCCCCTTGTCTGCAGAGTTGAAAGGCACCCTTTCAGAGGAATTTGGGTTAGGCTGGTGTCCCTGTGTCTCTGTAGCGCAGTGATAGGTTGGAATGGAGGAATCACAGTTTGAAGACTCCCAGGTTTCCAGGGATCCAGTGGACACATCGGTGCAAGGCTGAGCAGGTTTGGAGGTCTCATAATGAGAGACCAAGTGGCAAGCCCATTGTTTGTGTGCTCTATGCTCTGGGGGAAAGGAAGAATCCAAATCCAAGGTCGCATGGTGAACTCACTGTCTAGTTGCCGACTTGGCCTAGCACAGAGCTGCACTGTTGGTCTCCAGGTCCAAGGGTACATGGTGAGCCCACTCTCAAGGGGTCTGCTTGGCCTAGCACAGAGCTGAGTTGTTGGTCTTAATATCCAAGGGCACAAGGTGAGCCTGCTTACCAGGCACCAGCTTGGCCTATCAGATAGCTTGGTAGTTGCTCTCCAGGTCCAAGGGCACATGGTGAGCCTACTGCCCAGTTGCCTGCTTGGCCAGGCAAAGAGCCAAGTTGTTGGTCTTGAGGTCCAAGGGCACGTGGTGTGACTGCTGTCTAGGTGCCTACTTGGCTTGGTGTAGAGCTGCATTGTTGGTCTCCAGGTCCAAGGGCACATGGTGAGCCCGCTGTCAAGGTATCTGCTTGGCCTAGCCCAGGGCTCTGTTATTGGTTGCCAGGTCCAAGGGCACATGTTAACCCTGTTGTCCAGGTTCCTGTTTGGCCTAATTGAGAGCTGTGTTGTTGATCTCCGGGCCCAAACGCACCTGGTGCCCCTGCTGTCCACGTTCCTGCTTGGCCTAGTGCAGAGCTGCATTGTTGTTCTCCAGCTCCAAGAGCACATGGTGAGCCTACTGTCCAGGTGCCTTCTTGGCCTAATAGAGAGCTGATTTCTTGGTCTCCAGATCCAAGGGCACGTGGTGAGCCCGCTGTCAATGTTTCTGCTTGGCCCAGGATAGAGCTGAGTTGTTGGTTTCCGGGTCCAAGGGAGCATGATGAGCCCATTCTCCAGCTGCCTGCATGGCCAAGTGTAAAGCTGAGTTGTTGTTATTGGCATCGAAGGACACATGTTGAGCCTGCTGTCTAGGTACCCTCCTGGCCTAGTACAGAGCTGTGTTTTTGGTCTCCAGGTCCTAGGGTACATGGTGATCCCACTGTCAAGTTGTCTGCTTGGCCTAGCCCAGGGCTCCTTTCTTGGTCTCCAGGTCCAAGGGCACATGGTGAGCCTGCTGTTCAGGTGCCTGCTAGGCCGAGGATAGACCTGAGGTGTTGGTTTCCAGATCCAAGGGCACATGATAAGCCCACTCTCCAGGGGCCTGCCTGTCCTAGTAGAGAGCTGAGTTTTTGGACTCCAGTTCCAAGGGCACATGGTGATGGTGTTATTCAGGTGAATCTTTTCCCCAATACTGAGCTGGGATGCAGGACTCGTGGTTTCTTGACCCTTGGCAAGCCTGGTATTCTCTGGACTTACTTGCCTTGTGCTACACTGGAGTGGCCTGTTTGTGGTAGGACTCCTTGTCCACCCAGTGTCTGTGTGACTCATCTGCCCAGTAGTATCAAATTGGTTCAGAAGACTCCCAGTCTTTGGGTTCCTGGTTGGTGCTCTCTTACGGGGACTGACTTTCTGCTTCTTATACTTTGTTGGAGGGTTTGTGGTCTGTGGGCTCCTGGTCAGCCAGGTGTCTGGGGGGTTACTTTGTCCACTGCTGAGCTGGTTCAGCCAGCTTGTGGTCTCAGGACTTGTGGTCCAACGACTTGCACTGTGTCCAATGATGTGGTGATTCCTTCCCCCAGTACTTACTTGTTTTGTAAAAGTCCCGCT